AAAACAAAGGACAGTGATGCTTGACAAAAGACTTTTCTGCTTGGGTATTGGATTCATATCTTCTGTGCGCAATGGGAGAAAGCCAATTTGTTACACAAGAGACATTGGTGTAGGTATTACGTGTGGCTGCTGCAGATACTGATGGATGTGTGTTCGACTCCCAACATGGTCACTGACTTGTTTGATGTGAGGACTTCCCTGTGGTAATTCAATTTTTAGAAGAGGTTTTTTTAGAACACCTAAATATACTTTCGACTGAAAAAGTGACAAGGATTTTACTTTGCTTAAAAAAAAACTTAAAAAACCCGTTTTAAACGTTGCTGCTCTATGATTTATCAGTGACCTGAATGTACAAAGATTTCCCATATTCATTTTAAAAAAGTTTTATGAGTGAATTAATTTTATCCATATTCCCTCTTTCCTCCTTCCTTATTTCCAGTACTAAATTTTTAAAATGTTGACTGTTTCAATCTATCTCTGCCCTTATTTCCAATGTCATATTTCTAAAAATTAAACTGTTTCGATCTGCCTGCTTGTTTCAAATTTTTTCTCTCTCCTTATTCCCAGGGTGCACTCAGATTTGCCCAAGTCCATCATACGTAGAAAGAACCCGGGAACTTCAGCGAGAAGAGCAAGGAAAGGTTTGTTGATAGGTCCAAGGTTGCGGTGACCTTTGATTTTTGTAAATGATTGTGATTGTTTTCGACCCCATGGACATAATTTAGATAATATAGGTTAGAGCTTGTCAACCTTTATATAGCCAGTGCCCATTTTTTTCCACCTGTAAGAGACTAACATTTCCGTATCACACAACAACATGTGTTTCCAAGTAAGATATTCAATAATACCTGCCTTTACCTGAATGATCCCCACTGCCTACCAAAATTAGCGTGATTGGCCAGCATTGATTTAGATAGTGGATTGTCTGGACCCTGCGTCTCAGGGGCAACGCAGGCTGAGTGGGATACAGTATCTCAGTAGACAGATGAAGATAAGGATCAATAAAAATAAAACGTGAGCCATTGTGGTGGAATCGGGCGCTTGTCAAAATAATGATATAGAAGAAATCAGCTTTTTTTTCTGCTCGTTTGGCAATTTTTTATAAAATTTCTGTTTTTTAGCTGAATAACATTTGTGTCTATTTAAAAACACAATACTGTGTGGATTTTACTTTAAAATGTTTTATAAAGGCATAAAAATGTAAATTTTCAGTTTCCAAGGACTCTCAACCGATGGAAGACACCAAACTCACTAATTTTACCTCTGAAATCAGGCAACCCCCCATTCCCTTCAATCACATCTATCTCAATATCTATTAATGATAGAAAGGGTTTTTTTTTCCATCAAAATATCAACATATGAATAAGCTTTAAGGTGATAACAATAACTCCATATGCCCAAGAATTGATGAGTTCCTGATTCCTCCACATTGTGACACAAGTCAATAAAAGTAAACTTCCACCATTCAGGAATGAAACTCTTGCTGTCTGTGTGCAGGGACAAAGAGCTTAACCATTACTCTCCAGACAACTGTAGATCTTTGTCTGGTTGAACTGAAAATTCATTGTCTTTTCTGCATTGTACTTCAGCAGTGGTGCATTTAACTAGGGGGCATTCACATTAGCCACTTTTATGTGTATGGCTTTTCACCCATGATGTTTTAGACTGACAAATATATGGGTATGCGGTGAAACTTTAACTGTTTTAACTCTGGAATTATTTTCCACTTTTTGACGAAATTTTTTTCAAGATCTTGTGAAACACGTAACAGGGGATGCATGCAAAATATTCCTAAAGTGGCTAAAACTGTGTCAGAATAAAAAAGGAAGTAGTTTGTACATTTATCTAACAGTTCCTAGTCAAAATAAATTTATTTGGATTATAAAAGATTGCATTAGCAGTAAATGCTTCATGCACCCGGCAATCTGACCAGATGCTCGGATTGGGCTAGTTTCACTGGATGCTCCCATCTTCCACTCTGGGTTACAGAGTTAATAAGCTAAGCCATACCAGCCACCACTTTGTCCAACCACTTGTGATCAAGAGTGACCAGTGCTGTCCTGGTTTTCCTCAGAGAGCCTTGCCAACTTCCAAGTGTTCCTCGGTGGCTCGTGCGGCTGTCCAAAGAAGCCAACCACCTGGAGACACGACACGGCCATACCCTTCCTCAAGAAAGAGAACATCACTTTCTATAACCCTGTGAGTTCCCATTTAGTGTCCAACTTTCTTTTGTTAAATAGGTTCTTATCATCGTTTTTTTGTTTGTGTGTGTAGTTTGGGGATTTAGAAGTTAAAAATGTCAACTTATGGGAACTCGTAAAAGAAATTGTACTTCTTCTTCAAATGATAGACATAATCAAACAGATCCTGAACCGATGTAGAAATATCTTTTCAAAGTATAGCAAGGTTTATTTTATACCTTTTGACAATTTCAGTCTTTGTTAACCATGAAAATTCCACCTTTGTATTCGTAATCTAAACTTTTATCCTAGTCATAATTTCAAATCTAAATGTATAAAATATGATTAAGTTGATGCTCAGCTGCACGCACGCAACAGTTACTATAAATGTCTGAGAATTTCCTGCAGGTTTCAAAAGCTGGGCTGGCCAGACTGGTTTATGTATGTTTTTGCAAATAAAGTTGCCATACTGTTTCATTGGTTTCAAGCTAAAGCAAGTTGTCTTTTCATCATCACCACTTTGGTTTCAAGCTAAAGCAAGTTGCCTTTTCATCATCACCACTTTGGTTTCAAGCTAAAGCAAGTTGTCTTTTCATCATCACCACTTTAGTTTCAAGCTTAAGCAAGTTGTCTTTTCATCATCACCACTTTGGTTTCAAGCTAAAGCAAGTTATCTTTTCATCATCACCACTGCAGCCACAACTAGGTGTAGCAGCAGGTACTGTGGTGTTGCTGTCTTTCGAGTAAGAGTTTGGCTTTTCTATTTGCACGCGAAAGACACACGTTCAATTTTCATAAAAGGAAAGAATTATTAATCAGTTTCTTCTTATTTCTGCTAGAATGTGGTATCCCCATGCTGTCTGATTGGCCCTGATAACAAATTTGTAGATCCCTGCTCGCTGTATGATTTGAATTGTGTTGATGGAATTGTAAAAAATTTATACTCGTTTTGCTGTCATTGTAGATATAAGAAAATTGTTCAGTTTTAAATAAAGAAGTCTTAAGAATTAAAAGTTTTCAATGTGCGTGGGTGGTTGGTTGGTTCTCGGATGTGGTTTTCTCCTTTCATCCTGTCAAACGTCTATCTTCCTTATCTCTCCTTTTTTGTGTGTTTCTCTCCTGTTGTACTTGTAATCTCCTGCACTTATGTGACCAAATTGTGTTGCAAAGGTTGTAAAACTTTTACTAAAGGTAAGCTTTTTGTGTGTGATTTGTATAATTTAACAATGAGTGAGTGTTGTGTTGTGTGTCTTGTTTTACAGCAAGTGAACACCTGGAGGCCCGAGCTGATTGAGCTGGAGGACAGAGCCAAATGTGTGAGTCACTCGTTGCCGTTTGTGTGTGTGTGTGTGTGTGTGTGTGTGCACGTACATGTGTGTGGGTGTGTGTGTGTGTGTGTGTGTTGGGAAAGAGGTGGGAGAGATAAGGATCTTCTGCTCTCTGCTTTGTGTTTCTTTTTGAAAGGGGGGGGGATGTGAGAGAAAGAGAGAGAATGCGTTGAGATAAGGAGAACCATATTTGGGGATTGGGGGGGGGGGGGGGGTGGAGGACATAATAAAGTGAAGTGGGAAGAGCATGGGTCAAAAGAGTCAAGGTATCATGGTTCCTCACGGATGTAAAATCTGTTGTAGCTGTAAACATTTCATATGTGCACCAATCCATTTGAATGTTATTACTGTAAACATTCCATATGTATTCAATTCTATCTGTATGTTATAACAGGAAATTTTTATAATTTGATTTGTATGAACTGTAAGTGTTATCGCTGAAGACATTATGTTTGTATCCCAGTCCATCTGTGTGTCAAGGCTGTACTTAACATTTTACACAGAGAGGTGTAAGTTTATCAGTTTGAATTGTACAAAATGTATGAATGAGTGCTATGAATCTATACTTTTTTCTTGTTTGTAGGTTGCAGAGTTGCTGTTCTTTGTCATTGACAACAATACAAGGAGTGTGACTTCTCTCTGTGAAATTGCTTATTTAGTCGGTGAGCTGGAAATATTGACTTATTAGTTTGACTGTGTGTCAGTAAGTACATGTGTGTGTGTGTATGTGTGAGTGTGTGTGTGTGTGTGTGTGTGTGTGTGTGTGTGTGTGTGTGTGTGTGTGTGTGTGTGTGAGAGTGCAATTTTGTTTCTGTTCCTAGACGGAGGTTCTAGAAGCGATCTTCTAATGTTATTTTGTGATAAGTGGAAGAAAAAGTGATGGTTCAAAATTTCATATTGATGGTCACATAGCTAGTGAAGCATCTGTGATGTAATGGTTAGGCTTTTTGGAGTTGCTGAGCGATTCGTCAATTTTATGGAGAATCTCCATCTTTTTTTTTTTTTAAACGGGATGTTACCATCCACCAGATATAATAAAAGCCAAGGCTTCAGCTTCAGGTTGTATCCATCCCGCTTTGGACTCGGCGAAAGGCCGAAAAGTCGGGAACAGATACTATATTTTAATCTTAGTCGAAAATCCGAGAAGTGATCTCGGAGAGTATCTACTGAGCAGATAGAACTTTGTAATCCTGGGGTAGCGAAATATCCATCTGTGTCTACAAGTGTATGATTGTGATTTTTTTCAGTTATTGCTGTGTTCTGTGTTTCATATAGACCCAGAGTAGTTTTTGTTAGTCTTCATACCACTGTGGTTATCTCCTCTGTTATTACATTCTGATAATATATCTAGTGATTATCTGCCCTGATAGTATAATACAATTAATGGTTATCATTAATTGTTATCACTCCTGATTTTATATGTAATGATAATCTCCCCTTGAATTTGTATTATTAGCAATAATTATCTGCTGTTATAAAATAATTAACCATGACCTCGCATGTTATTGTGGCTAAAAGTGTCTTCCCTGGTATTAGTACTAAAGACAATCTTCCCTGGTATTAGTACTAAAGACAATCTTCCCTGGTATTAGTACTAAAGACAATCTTCCCTGGTATAGTACAAAAGACAATCTTCCCTAGTATTAGTACTAAAGACAATCTTCCCTGGTATTAGTACTAAAGACAATCTTCCCTGCTATTAGTACTAAAGACAATCTTCCCTGGTATTGTTACAAAAGACAATCTTCCCTGGTATTGTTACTAAAGACAATCTTCCCTGGTATTAGTACTAAAGACAATCTTCCTTGGTATTAGTACTAAAGACAATCTTCCCTGGTATTGTTACAAAAGACAATCTTCCCTGGTATTAGTACTAAAGACAATCTTCCCTGGTATTAGTACTAAAGACAATCTTCCCTGGTATATTACAAAAGACAATCTTCCCTAGTATTAGTACTAAAGACAATCTTCCCTGGTATTAGTACTAAAGACAATCTTCCCTGCTATTAGTACTAAAGACAATCTTCCCTGGTATTGTTACAAAAGACAATCTTCCCTGGTATTAGTACTAAAGACAATCTTCCCTGGTATTAGTACTAAAGACAATCTTCCCTGGTATTAGTACTAAAGACAATCTTCCCTGGTATTAGTACTAAAGACAATCTTCCCTGGTATTAGTACTAAAGACAATCTTCCCTGGTATTATTTGACTTACATGGTATTATTACTTTTGACGATCTCCTCCCTTATTATGACTAACAATGACCAGCTTTGGTACAATAACTAATCATGATCTCTGATTTATGTTGTAAGTACGACAAAACTCGTACTAAAACTGGTATTATGACCAACAATGATCTGCCTTGACTGATATTGTAATGATCGATCTCCCTGTGGTGTTATATGTAACAAGAGTTTTGAATCATTTCACAGGTTGTGGCCGTCAAATCATCGTTGTGTTCAATGGATTTCTCTCGCATGTAGAGGAGGTCGGCCTGGAGAAAACATCAACGAGGTCAGTCGTTTGTTTTGTTTGTTTGTCGGTATGTCTTTGTGATGATGTCTGATGAGAGTGGGAGGGTCAGAGCGTGCCACTGGAAGATGCTTCTTCTCGTCTTACCCTTTTTTTGTTTCTGTCTGGTAGTCTTACTTTTTCTCCTGCACTACTAAATGACTGTGGGTGGTTGCCGGGGGCTCTGGTGTGGTTTGCTGCTTCTTCTTTCCTATCAAACATCTATCGTCCTTTTCTCCCCTCCTTCTTTTTTTATGTTTGTTACTCTCCTTGTACCACCTCTAATCTTCTGGCGCTCAAATGACCTTATGCAGTTGCAAGCGCCATAAAACCTCTACTAAAACATATACCCCCCCCTCCCCCGCGGGAGGTGCCACTGACTGCAATGTCTTTAGGCCATTCCCAAAGTGGGGACATTTCTCGTTTTTATGCATAGTAGAATTCTAAATGGGCTGATTCAATAATGTCATGCTCATAACTGTGCCTGAACTACAACAGGGAACTGCTGCTTTTTCTTTCCTAATCCTTACTATCGTCTTTTTCCTCTACTTCTTAATTATGTTTGTCACACTCTTGTGAACACTCTTGTGACCCGCTATTTCAGGGGTGCCTTGAAAGTTGAAACAGACTTTGTGCTGTTGAAGCTAGAGAGGTGAGCAGAGTAAGCCTGCTTCCCTGTAAAGACTTCTCTGTTGACATCCACTCCTTGGCGCTCATATGACATTATGCCGTTGCGAGTGCCGTAAAACCTCTACTAAGTAATAATTTTAAAATATTTTTTTTTACTAAAACTAAAGTACTCTCTCCATTTTGTGTTGACAGGGAGCGGGAGGACATAGCCCGTGCCAGGAATGTGTTGATGGACATCATTGAGAGGAACAGTATCCCCGTATTCCATGACCTTGAGTCTGCGCTGAAGGGCACGGCGCTACATCTCAAACAGGTGGGAACACGATGCTAGAAGTTATGCTCAAAACACATTTGCTCAAGTCATTTTTTGAAGGGTTTAAGTAAATGATGTAGTGACTGTGTCTAATTTTTATGTATTAAAAACTTTATAACTTTATAATATGTGAGATGTTTTTACTACTACTATTACTACAACTGCTGCAGCTGCTATTACTACTACTCTTTCTCTCCTCATCTTTCTCTTTGTCTTTTTGACTCTTGTCCATCTCTCTCTCTCTTTCTCTCTCTTTGTCTCTCTCTGTCTGTCTGTCTGTCTGTCTGTCTGTCTGTCTGTCTGTCTCTCTCTCTCTCTTTCTCTGTCTCTTGCTTTCTCTCGTTCTCTCTCTGTCTCTCTCTATGTTTTCCCCTCTCTCTCCCCCTCTCTTTTTCCCTCTCCACCTCTCCCTCTTTTTCTCCCTTCCCACCCCCCTCTCTCTCTTTCTCTCTGCTCCCCTCCCCTCCCCTCTCCTCTCCCTCTCTTCCCACCTACTCCACAAGTGCCAAGAATCATGACATCTCTCGTGTCCTCCTCCAGGGCATCAAGGTCCAGGACCTGACCCTCCAGCAGGGGGCGCAGCCGGTCAAGTTTGGTCATGTCCTGGTCGGAGAAGCCTTGCTGTAAGTCAGCCCATCATTGCTGCTGAAGACTATACCTTCTCTTGTGATATTCTGTGTTTTATTATTTTTTTTCAAGAGAAGTATGCTTAGCATGAAAAGAAAATTTGCATTTTTTTCCTCTTGTTCATGTGAAACGCATTAACATGGACAGAAAAGTCGCACTGGTTTTGGTGGGGTTTTTTAAGAGTAACATTCATACCATGAAAACAATAGTCACTGTAAATCGCTCCATCATTGCTACTGAATATTACATCCCCTCTAGCAGTATTCTCAATGTTTTATTTTTATTGTAGAAACCTTTATAGATTGAAAATGAATATCGCACATGTTTTGTTTTGTATTGGTTTTTAAATTAAAAATTTTTTTTCCTGAAGAGAGACACATGTTGCATGAGAAGAAAGTTAAAAAATACACAAAGTTTGAAACGAAAAGTCACTCTCATCAAAGAGATTGATCAGTGTCTGAAGAGCAATGGTTAAGCCCAGCATGCCAAAGAAATGAGTTCAATTCCCGTTTGCTGAAAACATTTTTATTAAGTACCTTTGTATGCCACAGCCTGGGCTGGCTCTGATGGGGTAATAAAACATTTGTGTCGCCACAAGGTGGAATTAAGAGCTTGTCTATTTTTGGGCGTGTTGAGTTACTGGTATTATATTAAAGCTTGTTCATTTGTCTTGCATTTGATAATCTTGAAGGAGGGGGAGGTTGCTTAGTTTCAGAGGTGCCACAAAGTTTGTTTATTTCTATAGCTTGAGAGCCCATGGTTACTGAAAACTTACATTTTTTGTGCCTTTATTGAATGTTTTTAAATAAAATCCACACAGAATTGTGTTTTGGAATTTATATAAAAGATGTTGAGCTCCCCCCCCCCCCCCAAAAAAAAATAATTTAAAAAAAAATTGATTAAAACAGCCACACTGACGAGAAAATACCTGTTTCTTCGATTTCATTAATTTGATGAGCTCCTGATTTCACCACGCTGCCTCACATTTGTTGTATACTATTAATCGTGAACTGAAGAGTGATAGTCAAAGGTTCGGTTAGTTTGGGTGGGGGTGGGGGGCAGAGGGGATAGTTTTGTAATCATATATTTAGCTCGTAAAGGAAAAATTTAATATCCAGTTTGAAATTGTAAATTATGTAATTAGTATCTTATTCTTTTCATCTGGCTTATCAAAAAGATGGTAACATTGTGTATGTCCTCAGGAAACTGAGAGAGTCCTTCAACTCCATCACTGGGAGCACAGAGGGGAAGATGAGTCGAGAGGATGTGAGTTCTGATAATATACTTCTCCTCCCACTGCCCACTGTTTGTGTGTGTGTGTGTGTGTGTGTGTGTGTGTGTGTGTGTATGTGTGAACATGCCTACGTGCGGGTGTATACATGCCTGTGTGTGTGTGTGTGCGTTCAAACCTCTCAGTTATTATGATGCTTTTTTTATTTTATGTGTGTGTTTGTGTGTGTGTTCACTTCTTAGAACAGGTCATGGGTTTGTCAGTCTTTCTGCTGTGTTCTTGTATCCCTGTCTACCTGAGGAGGCTCAGACAGGCAGGGGTGAATCAGTCTGCCTCTAAATAATCAAAAAATTGTGTCAGTGGGAGTGTTTGGTAAGTGGGTGGTTGGCGGGGACTCTGGTGTGGTTTGCTTCTTCTTTTCTGTCAAATATGTATCGTCCTTTTCTCTCCTCCTTTTTTGTGTATGTTACTCTCTTGTAACACATCTATTCTTCGGCACTTATATTACCTTATTGTGTTGCAAGTGCCGTGAAACTAAGTGTTTGGTAAAAGTTTTGCAGCACTCGCTACTGCATAGGTTCATGAGGTAAAAGATTTACAATCGTTCTCTCTCTTCCTCCGACAGATCCGGCTGGGCTACCGTTGCTACACAGGGGATGACTTCAGTCTCTCATGGCTCCAGCACCAGCGGCCAGGCCAGACCTCGTTCTCTTTTGAAGAGTTCTGCGCCATCGTTACCGAGTACAAAAGGAAGGTCAGTGTTCGAACAGATGGAGGGTGCAGTTTTCGTTAAAAGTGTCGAAAATAGATTTATTGCTGTAATCATCATCACCATCATCTTCATTGTCGCAAAGTACACTAGAGTCCGCATAAACTATAATCTGCGGGACTGCCAGATTTGCTGTTTAGAGAGGTTTCTTTAAATAGAAGAGAAAAAAATCAGAAAATTTTTTTCTCGGTTTACCGCTGTTTTTGGATTTACTGTTTGACATAAGCAGACTCCACTTTAGTTAATATATATGGAGACTTTGACATTTTGGCTTAAGATAGTAGTTTATTGATTGTTATCATCTCTTGTTATTTTGAAGCGGTGCTCCAGTTGTCAGTGGTCAATCATAACCTGTACTTTCTCTTAATCGGCTCTTCAAATCGTCCGCTATCCTCAACAATGTGTTCCTGTCCATTTGATGGGATTGTCAGCTATTTAATTTCCCTCTTGGTCTTCCCCTTGTCTTCTCCCTCTTTCTTTACCTTGTCTAATAACTATGGTTTTGGTAGGGTAACCTTATCCGTTTTCTCATTCTTCATATACCTTTCTCTTTATCTTTAGCATTTAGCATATTGATTCTATCAAGTTGATATTCTAGAGACATGATTAAGCAGAGTGATTATTAAAATTCTTTTTATTTCCCTTTACCAGCGTCCCTCTGTAGCATCACAGGTCGCCTCTAAAATTGTCTCCCCTGTTACTTGGCTATTGGGTAAGTCTCTGTTGTATTTCCATTTCATGTTTTTTGTACTGCTGGCATTTTTGTCCTTCTTTGATCTTTCTTTGTGCCTTGTGGAAATATCTGTATATAATGTTTTGACTCAGAAACGTATGTGGGTGGTTGGTGGGTACTCTGGTGTGGTTTGCTCCTTCTTTCCTATCAAACACCTATCGTCCTGATCTCTCCTCCCTCTTTTTTATGTCTGTTACTCTCTTGTAACACTTCTAATCTTCGGCACTTATATGACCTTATAGTGTTGCAAGTGCCGTAAAAATCTTACTTAAACTAAAACTAAGAAACCTCTTTTCCAATAAGTATTAATGCCAGTGAACAAACACTGGAAGGTAAAGATATTTTGATAGACAACTGTCAAAACTGTGCCCAAAATTAATGACCTAGCAGTACTGAACTCAGATAGAGATGAATGTTCATAATAGTGTGGGAAGGCCGTTTATTTCCCTTGGCTGGGAAGAATCATTTACCACACCCTACTTCTCTTGTTTGCTGACATTTCGCTACCCTTGAGCTACAAAGTTCTTTCTGCATTGTACCTAGTTTTGAGAAATTTGATGTAACAAATTTTGAGTTTCAAATTTCAAGCGTTTTTTAATACAGTTCTTTAAGTATTTGGATAATGACTCTGAATAATCTTACTTTTTTAATAAAGCAGATAGAACATTTGGTTTCCGACCTCATGGTCTTAATAACGCAAAACAGCCAAACATTAAAATGTCAGAGAAAACTTTGTAACTCTGAGGTAGCGATTTGTCGGGAAGTGCTTATTGCATCTGAAACGTATTGTGTTTCATATATGAAAGTAAAGAGTATCTATTAGAGCTTGAGAACAGTCTCACTTTTAGGTTTAAACTCGATATTAAATATATGCAAAAATGATTCTTAGTTAATTGTATTTAATAGGGCACAAGCTATTTGGTAGTGTAGGTTTTACTTCTATAATGCTTTGCTTTCTTTTGCTCTCATGTGTTTCGAATTTTAGTCCAGTAATTAATCTGTGTGCATGTTGGTGTGCTCTGCTTGTTTTATTTCCTATCTGTATAAACTATTTAATTGTATTAGTCTGGCCACTATTGACATCTAAATGGTCTGAGTTGCATGGAAATGGAAAGGAATATATAACATTTATGATAAATTTAGTATGTGCTTATATGTATGTGTATATATATATATAAATCTATATATATATATATGCTTTTTAAAATGTTTTATATGCAAATTCATTAATCTTTGACCTCAGGCAAACTGCGAGGGAATTCGGGTCCCAGCGACGACATCCAAGAAGTGTACGACATCTACCTAGGTGGAAGCTGTGGTGAGGCCAACTGGAGAGAAGATGTGGCCATTCCTCTATTAAAGTGAGTCACCGTGACCCTCAGTCTGTCTGTCTGTCTCTCTCTCTCTCTTTCTGTCTCTCTCTCTCTCTCTTTCTCTCTCTTTCTGTCTGTCTCTCTCTCTCTCTCTCTCTCTCTCTCTCTCTGTATCTCCCTCCTCCGCTTCTCTCCCTCTCTCTCTTGTCTTTGTCCCTCTTTCTGTGTCTCTCTCAAACTCACTTTCTATCCCAGGCTTTCTTTCTGCCTCTCTTTGTTTCTCTCTCTCTCTCTTTCTCTCTCTCTCTCTCTCTCTCTCTCTCTCTCTCTCTCTCTCTCTCTCTCTCTCTCTCTCTCTCTCTCTCTCTCTCTCTCTCTCTCTCTCTCTCTCTCTCTCACTCTTTCTTTTTCTCTCACTCTCTCTTTCTCTCTCACTCTCTTCCTCTCTCACTCCCCATCACTTCTCTGCCTTTTCTCTCTCTTTTTATCTCTCTTCTCTCTGTCTGTCTGTCTGTCTGTCTGTCTGTCTGTCTGTCTGTCTGTCTGTATGTCTGTCTGTCTGTCTGTATGTCTGTCTGTCTCTCTCTCTTTCTTTCCCTCTCTCTCTCTCTGCTTCTCTTTCCCTCTCTCCTTTTCACTCCCTTCCACTCCCTTTGTCCCTTTATCTCTCTCTTTCTCTCTATCAGTAGGGTACGAGGTTACTGTCCTCTTGATTTAGTATGTACTCAGCGCCGTCTATCTAGAGAAACAGATAGAGTCCTAAAGACATGTTCACATGCAGGCAGCCACACATGTATATATATAGATACTCACACCGAGGGATAGATGAATAGAGAGAAAGGCATGTTCTCTATGTGTCCTCTTCTGTCACTCCCCAGACGAGAGGGCGTGTCCTTCCTGAACCCGCTGGTGACCAAATGGAGTGACCACCTGATCCCCATGCAGGCTGCGGAGAGAGAGAAGTGCCGTATGCTGCTCTACGTCATCGCTGACTGTACCAGAGCAATTGGGGCCATGGTTGAGGTGAGTGCCTTCTATCCCAGGGGCTTCTTTTGGCGACTTTTATCTCGGGGTGGGGGGGGGGGGGGGGGGGGGGGATGGACTTCTTTAGTGTTGTGTTAAGATGTAGCTTCGATTCCTGGCTGGGCTGGGTGGGGAGTAAAGTCCTTTGGAAAGATGTGATGCCCTAATTTTTTCATTAGAAAATCACATCAAAAGGTCTTTTTTACTGGTATGTTGTATCCCTCTTAGCCTAGGTTGGCCCTTGCTGGGAGGGCTGGAAGCCCACCTCCTGAATGATCTAAATTGTGTCAATGAAGACATAAAAAACACCCACATTAAAATAAGACATATTAATAACTTTACACTGTTGACGGTAGTTTTGTTATCAAATTTGTATGTAGATTATTGGAGGGCCCCACTGGTAGGTCCTACTTCTTTTCTTGATCCCCTCTGTTGTTTCTGTTTGTTTTTTCTGGTTTTCTCCACTGCCGTGAATGACCTTTATTGTATCGAAGTACTTTTCTTGACTCAAACATACAAACTCTAAACTGTAGATTGTGCCTCATATTTTCCCGTCTCTCTTTTCTCCATGTTCGCTGTGTGTACAGGCTGCCTACTATATCGGCCGAGGCTGTCGCGTGACGCTGTGTTTGGAGAAACTGACACCAGACACAACGGTGGCAGGCGAGCAGGTAGGATACACGTAGTCTGGTGTGACTTACATATACTTAGAAGGAGGGAAGAGGGGAGGGTGGAGAGAGGGAGAGATAGAGAGAGGATGGGAGAGTAGGGGGAGGGTGGAGGGGGGGGATGCCCCGTTGGAGAGAGAGAGAGACAAGTTTTTAATTTTTAAGTCTAGATCATTAATCGAGACTCGGTTTTATAATAAACTTGATCCTCAATTAAAAGACAGCTACTACATGAAAATATTTTTCCTAACATTTGAAGAGACCTCTATGAGTGTTTATTTGTATATTCCATAGTCCTGGTCTGTTCCTTGACCTTTGAATGGTCTAAACTGTACCGATGGAGGCTTAATAAAGTTTTGACTTAGAAACAGTGATTCAAATTTATTGCAAGGAAGATAAACAGGCTATCACTTTGGTTTTTGCTGCATAGAAAAATAAAGAAAAGTAAAACAACAATGACTGTTGAAGGAGTAGCCAAAACGATTTGTCTAAAAAGTTCATTTGAAAATTGGAGTTAATTTTGAGTGAATTTAAAAAATGGGACCTTTGATGGTGTCAGGAAAGTGGAGAGCCTTGAAAACTCTCTGATCAAACCAAGTTATAGACCTCCACTTGGAGGATTTGAGCCAGGGCTGTCCTCATCATAGAGACATGAATATCTATGGATGGTCTGAATATGTGCCTTCAAGCGTTATCTGCGTTTGATAAAACAATGCAAGTAGTATGTGATATATAACTGAATTCCAGCATCTGCTGTAAATGATATGAAAGGAAAACTTGCTTAATTACTAAATACCAAACTACAATGTATCACCAAAAAGTTGGAGGTTCTGTTTGAAATATAACATTTTATAGTGGTTATAGAAGTGCTAAAGACTTTCTTTTTGTTATTTCTGTACTCTAGCATGTTGGAAATCCTATGGCATCACATCAACGAAAGTTGTTAGATATAACTGTTTAACTCTGTGTGTATGTGAAGAAAAATAAACCACATAACGGTGATGTAGAACATTCTGCCCCAGCTGGCCAGCTGGCTTGTAACCCTCACTTTTGCCTCTTTCTTTCTTTCCCTGCAGATGACGGAGGCAGCTTTGAAGGATTACTCCCGCAGTCGAGAGTACCTGAGTGACATGGCGAGCCGCGAGGGCGCTCCGGTCTTTGAGAACGTCAATGACAGTCTGGAGTCCATTGTTAAATGTGTGCGTAAACTCCACGGCACCACGGATTCTAAATGGTTGTGTCGACCATGAGGAAGTTCCAAAAACACATGTTGCCATAGGGCGGGGGGTATAATGACATCCGTCTGGTGATTTAGTCCCTTCGTATATAACCATTATACAAGATTCTGAAGTATTATCAGAGATAATTCAGAAGTAGAACTAACATTAACGTCCTTTATACAAGAAAATGACAAATGTGTACTGAAAATTACAGGCTTAGTCAGCACTTACATCAGTCTGTTGATTTAGTCTCTTCGTATGTTACCATTATACAAGATTCTGAAGTGTAATCTCTGTTCAGAGAAAAGTTCAGAATTGAAAATGATACTAACGTGATTTATACATGAAAATGACAAATGTGTACTGAGAAATTACAGGCTTCATCAGCACTTACATCAGTCTGTTCACTTAGTCTCTTCGTATGTAACCATTATACAAGATTCTGAAGTATAATCTCTGTTCAAGGATAAGTTCAGAATTGGAAATGATACTAACAAATAAAACATGTAAATGACAAATATGTACCAAAAAATAACAGACCTATTCAGCTGCTGAGAAGTGTTATGCTGAGACTTATGACTACGAGAGATTGATATTGATTGATATTGTTATTAATGTTATTATTTGCTGGCCTAACATGGCTGTTCTGTTATAGGGCATGACAGGTTATTGATGTCCTTTGCCTGTGGTTGAATGTGAGAACACTGGCCGAGGATTCTAAACGTTGAAAAATGTCAGTGAGGTGAGATATTTGCCTTATTTTTTGGTGGTGTGGCAGGAGAGTAGAGCTGACTATCTTGTTTCTGATGTGTTGGCCTGATTTGAAAGTGTAGAGAGATTCATCGTTTTACACAACAGATTTTCGTTTTTGTCTTCAGAAGTTTTGGTTGTGGATATTTTCGTTGACTTCTGAGACTTGCACGGATTTGAGGAGGGTGTGCTGTAAGGATCTCGATGACACAGGAAAGGAATGGTATCAGTCTTCAGAATTTTAAGTGATTATTTTTTCCATTTTTGTGCGTGTATTTTTGCTGTTAGTAATTCATTTTTCAGCCATGTACTAGAACAGGTTTCTGGGATGGACACTTGCTTTTTAAATTTGTTTTTATTTGCTAATTCAGAATTTTTTTTATAATTACTGAAAAATTACTAAAATTATCAAGATGTATAGATTCATTTTGATTAATGATATGCTGGCCAGTTTTTGTAGTCTCTCCAGGCCCACATTCTTTAAAAGGCTAAAAAAAACCCAAACGATGCTCTCCGTCCATGTCAAAGAGAAAGGGCATCTCAAAGTCCCGAATGTGTCAAACTCACAGCCTCTGCTGTGATGCATGCTATGATAGATTAGAAAGTGACCATACTTTGAACTTTTGCTTTGTTTTCACATTAGCATTAATCTCTTCCGGTGTCTGAGGTGAAGCAGTTTGGTGCTTCGCAGTTGCACACAGTAGGCTCGAGTTCAATTCCCAAGTGAGATTAATTTCTATTGAGTATCCCAATTTTTCTGCTTAGTGGCTGTATCCCTCTTTAATAAAAAAAAGCATTACACCCTTGAGTTGGCCATCGGGCTGAGTGGTTGCAGAGTTTATACTTCTCTGAGTGCATATCAAGGCGAACCCAGTGAAGGCCTGATGATGTGAAAGCAATGCAAAAGCTCAGATAGCATGTGGTTGGCAAGCTGTTCAACTGTTCTATGCCGAGAAAGCAAACTTTTTCAGAGGAGAGAAAAAACAGATTTTTTAAACAATAATACCTACATTATGTATTTTTTCTTGATTTCTTCAATTTGTAGAATTTGAATATCGAAAAAGTATTTCTTAAGCTCATGCTACCAGTACCATACATTAACAGAATTCAATGTACATTTTTTAAAGAATTGGGGCTTAATGATCTGAACTGGTGCCCTATCCCTGTGAGCCACATACTGGTGTCAATTCCGGATGTTTAAGTAAAAAAATGAACACATCGTTGTCATGGCCATCATCTTTTCCTTTGTAAGTTTGTACAGTTCTTGAAGGTACAGATTCTGGGTGATTGGAGGGTTCCACTGGTAGGTCCTACTTCTTTACTTTCCCTCTTTTGGTTCTGTCTGTCTTCCTTTTTCCCAGCACTAAAAGACCATTATTGTGTTGACGTGCTTCTCTTTACTCAAACAAACCTGTATGTCCATCATATTTTCCTTTGTAAGTTTGTACAGTCTTGGAAGGTACAGCTGCATGGCTGAATTCATATCTTGTGAAGAAGGAAGAGAGATATGACGTATTTGTACATTTCACCGGTTGAAGTTTATCTCAGTGAATGTAACTTTATCGAGTTTATCTCAGTGAATGTAACTTTATCGAGTTGATAATTTTCTGTCCTTTTTGTAGACTGGTTTACTTTCCTTTGGAGAAGAAAACTTTCTATAGTGATGGCTTGGTAACTTTAGTGAGCTCTAGACTGTTGTACAGTTTCAGATATATATATTTTCTAACAATGTCCTTTTTGTTTTGTACAGGGCTGTTTTGAGCCTGCACTGTCAATTTAAAACTTTGAATTTGAAGACAATTTTTTGGGGTCTTATTGTATAAATGTATGCTCTGTGATACCAGAAATCCTTTTTGTTTTTCCTGTGAGAATATGTGAGGTTTTTTCCTTTGGTCATTCTGTTTGGATGCAGTTGAGACCTACAGCTGTGCTATTGGCTCATCTTGTGGGTGTGACCCGGTTTGCGATATATGTTTATGTTCTTTGTTGTGATAAAAGGTGCTGATATTGCGGTACCTCACTCTAGATACTCATTACAGAAAACATATGAAGAGTACAGGGAAAAATAGCATAAGGATCAATTTTCAATTTTTGCTTTAGCTTGTTTCGATCTGTTGTTTGGATATCAACATCATTTTTATCAGAAATGACTGTAGTCACATATCCAAAACAGTTGAAAAAAGTGAAGAGAACGTTTTTAAAATTTTTCCTGCTATTTTTTCCCTTGAGGTCTTTGTACATATGTCTTGCTCACTCATGGATAGTTGTGAGACATTTTTTTGTACTTGTTTGCTCCATGGCAGAGTGTGAGAGTGGAAAAGTTTGATTTGTGAGCTTGATGTCTTGTGGTTGAAGTTGTTGTACAGAGATTGAGATATGCTTGGTGGTTGGTTGGCGGGTGCTCTGGTGTGCTTTGCTTCTTCTTTCCTATGAAACATCTATCGTTCTTATCTCCCCTTCTTTTTTAAAATGTTTGTTACTCTCTTGAAACACCTCTAATCTTCTGGTGCTCATACGACCTTATGCAGTTGCGAGCGCCGTAAAACCTGTATCTCCCCCCAGGGCAGTGCCACTAACTGTAGTGTCTTTAGGCCATTCCCAAAGGGGGGATATTTCTCGTTCGAGCACAGTAGAATTGTAAATGGGCTGATTCATGTCACGCTCGTAACTGTGCCGATCTACAATAGGGAACTGCTGCTTTTTCTTTCCTAATCTTTACTATTGTCATTTTCCTCTACTTCTTTTGTATGTTTGTCACTCTCTTGTGACCTGCTATTTCCGGGGTGCCTTGATAGTTGATGCAGACCTTGTGCTGTTGAAGCTAGAGAGGTGAGCAGAGTAAGTCTGATTCCCTGTAAAGACTTCTCTGTTGACACCCACCCCTTGGCGCTCATATGACCTTATGCAGTTGCGAGCGCCGTAAAACCCTCTACTATAAAAAAACAACCCAAAAAAACCCTGTACCTAAACATCTATTCTTCGGCACTTTATGACCTTATTGTGTTGCAAGTGCTGTAAAACTTTTACTAAAACTAAAACTAAGAGATGTGCTAGTTCCTTGTTAGTGTTCCCACCTTGTGTTGTCATATGCTGTCAAGGGTGTGCTCTTAGTTCAGTTGGTATCTTGTTGGGTTTTGGTGTGGATGGCCCTGGTTTGAATACTGAAAGAAGTGCTTTTGAAATTGGGTTGGTTTGAGAGTTCATTATATATGGCTTGTTGTGAAGTTAGAAGGTACTAAGTATTGATGAGATTTAAATTTCTTGAACTTGTTTACTTTCATAGAAACTTTGTCCACTTGGGAAGAAATTAGGATGACAGCTTGGGGAAAGGAATTGGATAGCTTATTGGAGAGTAAATTGCAGTATTTGGCTGCTTTGGGGACTGATATGAACAATGACGAGGGAGGTGTATTTACTTGAGAAATATTTTAGTGTGTACAAATACTTGTAATACGTGGTCCTGCGAAAATTCATTATTTTGTATGCCTCCCTTTTCATTTTGATGGCCATATTTTTGTTCTCTAGTACCTATAAATATTGTAGATAATTCTGTCCTCTTTTAAAGCAATTCTTTTTGACTTGACCTGGCTAGAGTGGACGCATGTGAGGTATTATCGTGAAATCAGGCACTCGTCAAATTAATGAAATAGAAGAAGCTGGTATTTTCTGCTGGTTTGGCAATATTGATATAATTTTGGTTTTGATTCAACACCTTTTAAGTCCTTTTAAAAACATTTCTGTGGAGGTTTTATTGACAAACATTGATTAAATACTCAAAAATGTAAATTTTCAATTTCCAAGGACTTTCTAGTTACGGGAGTCACCAGTCTTTGGCAGTCATTTTCTCAAAAATTTCCCCCGCTTTCTTGAATCGGAAATATCTTGACTTCTATTCAAGATAGATCTGTATTCTTTATTGAAAGTGTAACAAACAAACAGGCTTTAAGATGATACCGATAACTCCACATGCCCAAAAATTGACGAGGGCCTGATTCCATCGCGTAAGGACACGTATAAGTGGTTCCTTCTTTCCTATCAAACATCTATTGTCCATATCTCTCTTTTTTTTTTCGTTTGTTACTCTCTTGTAACACTGCTGATCTTCGGGACTTATATGACTTCATTGTGTTGAAAGTGCCGAAAACCTCTCTCTAAAGCAAACTAAAAGTTGGCATCTGTTTGTGGTGTCGTCATGTACTGGGTGCGCAGCCACTGTTCTGAAAACCTCCCTGTTGTTGGCACTACTATAGTGTAAAGTGCATAGAGCCTGCTGTTGAGCGGGGATATGCGCTATACAAATGCTATTTATTATTATTATTATTATTATTATTATTATTATTATTATGGGCACCTTCAGTTGTGAAAGTACTGTGTTTGACCAGTATTTCTTCCTTCTCCTCCTCCTTCTCCTCCTCCTTCTCCTCCTCCTCCTCCTCCTCCTCCTTCTGCTACTGCTGCTGCTCGATGACAGTCAGGCAGTTAATCCGGTGGTGCGGCCAAACTTTGCAGTTATTTTTATACCTCAAAGCTGCCATACAGTTTTCTTTTCAGTGGTATAGCATACTGCCATGTCTGTGCTCTTGCAGTTGTGAAGTGAATGCAGTACCGCAGGATATTTGACAATTGACCGTTACTTTATTCACCCCAGAAAGTCCTGTTCCAATTTATTTTATTTTTTGATGGAAGAGATTTTACTTGCATTTTGTTTTTTTCACTTTATAAAAATATAATTACTTTTTCTGTTTCCGAAGACGCTGTACATCATTTTGATCTATGGACAAGTTTGAAAGTAAAGTTAAGGGTTGAACAAGGGAATGGAGAGGAGAACAGATGTCATTTCGTGAGAGTGCACCAAGCCTTGTTTATTTAGACTAAATTCACCTCTTATGGATAATTTGTTTCCCCACCACTTACTTTATTAAGGTTACAGTTTTGCAAAGGGGCGTTCAACCTGACAATTTCACACATTTTTCACCCTGTATTTTTTTTTGCCTTTTGCGTATTGTCAGTGTCTCAAGCAATCCACTGAAGTCCATTTGGGTACTTTTGACACCAGAGACAAAAAAAAACTAGTTTATGTTGTGCTGTTCCCATCAGGACTAGTTTATGTTGTGCTGTTCCCATCAGGACTAGTTTATGTTGTGCTGTTCCCATCAGGACTAGTTTATGTTGTGCTGTTCCCATCAGGACTAGTTTATGTTGTGCTGTTCCCATCAGGACTAGTTTATGTTGTGCTGTTCCCATCAGGACTAGTTTATGTTGTGCTGTTCCCATCAGGACTAGTTTATGTTGTGCTGTTCCCATCAGGACTAGTTTATGTTGTGCTGTTCCCATCAGGACTAGTTTATGTTGTGCTGTTCCCATCAGGACTAGTTTATGTTGTGCTGTTCCCATCAGGACTAGTTTATGTTGTGCTGTTCCCATCAGGACTAGTTTATGTTGTGCTGTTCCCATCAGGAATCACATTAAGCTAGAAAATTGTAAACCTTGACCGCAGCATTAAGTTGCACTTTGTTGATGTTGAAAGGTGCATCTTTAATAGAGATTTGGGAAGGTGTCAAATTTTAAAATTCTCAAAATTTGGAATTAAGTGGATTGTTTGTGACAGTGAGAATATGTTGTGTGCGTGTAAGAACTTGGAGATATGATCAAAGGTCTGAATTTTGTGAATATTTTTGTACCAGAAATGTACCAGAACCAATGAGGTTGACCATTAGCATTAGCTTCACGTTGTTGTAAACGATTGGATGACTGGATTTCTGTTTTCATTATTGATCATGTCTCAGATTGCAG